GGTGGCAGCAGCACCAGCTTTGGACAGGATTGCATCAGGGGCATATGTGAGCATCCCAAGGTCCCCTGCCCCGGTGCACCCCCAGGCACAAGGCTGTGCCCCCTTGCCGCAAGGCAGTGGGGCGGGCAGCGCTGCTGCCCACAGAGCTGGCTGGGGCGAGATGCACAGGCTCTGTGGCTCGTTAGCTGCAAACGAGTTTCCTGGCAAAGAGGCAAATAACGTGAAGGGAATGAATTTCCCAAGTGCAGGGGCGGCAGGGCCGTCCTTCGCCGGGAAGTGACCCAGGAGCCCACGCGGGACCAGGGCGCACGCTGGCAGGATCATGCCGCAGGCAGGGCATGCATGGCAGGGGCTTCTGCCCATCTCCCTGCCAGCCCCCAGGGACTGGCAGCGTGGGGCCTCAGTTTCCCTGCCACCTCTGCTCCTCTCCCATCCCTACCTTGCTCATCCAGGATTTCCGCTTGCACATGGCTTTCCTCCGCTTCACTGCCTCCCACAGCCGCCGCTGGCCTGCAGGACACAGGGACCGTCACCGACCCAGCACGGGATGGAGGTCCCCTCCAGCTCCGTGGACCGCAAGCTCTTCTGGGCTCCCCAAAAGATGCTGTGCAGCCAGCCAGGGGTACAGGGGGAGATTTGGGGAGGACGTACGCACCGGGGCGTCCCATGCCAATCTTCTCCAGGTCCTCATTTTTGACGTACTCAAAGTGGGAGAGGCGGGTGACATTGAGTTCGTCCCGGATGCGCAGGAAGTACTGCTGCAACTGCAGCTCGGTGAGCAGCTCCAGCAGCCAGTCCTTGCCCTCCTCCGCCTGCATGCTACAGCTCAGCCTCTGCCAGGACACCGCGCTGGGTTAGGGGGGGACCCTGCCCTGCTCCTCTCTGCCCCATCCCCCCTGGGAGAGTCACCCGGATGGGCTGAGAGCCGAGGCTGGGGTGCTGCCTGGGTAGGGTGCGAGGGATGCTAGCAGGGTTCATCTCCTGAGCCCATCTCCAGCTCTCCAGGTGGGTTGGGAGAGGCACCCCATCAGCAGGACCCGCAGGGATGGGCAGGGACCCCTGCTCTGTCCCATTGTGCCCATAGAAACACCAGCCATCCCCTCCACTCCAGCACAGGCTGTCCCCAGGCAGCGGTGCCAGGGACGCAGGAGGGGGCAGAGCCTCAGGGCATGGGATGGACTTGCCCAGCAGCAGCCCCCAGCCAA